GACTGTGTCTAAAATAAATAAATAAATAAATAAAGTCATTAAAAAGCCGAGAACGTAAGAGTCACAGTATTTAAGAAAGTGAATTTTAAGCCAATTGCTTGGTGGCCTGCTGAATTTGAAGTAGTTCTATCTCTCACTTGTGATTAAACATGGAAGAAAACAGACTGGCTAATTTGGTTACACTTTGTCCAAATACAATGTTAATTTAATGGAACCCTGAAATATCCAAAATAATAACTGAATGCTAGTTACAAAACAATAATAAAAAGTTTAAAAGTCTTCCATATGTGCTGTTAACAGTACAAATTCAAGTGCAGAATTATTATGCCATTTTAAGTATTATCTACTTTATAAAAAAATCACAGTGGTCTTCATCACATGGCAAAAAAAAAAAAAAAACAAATTTCACTTTTCTCCAAAGGAGTAAGTACATCCTAAATATAACTACAAACAATTGTGTAAAACTATTTGTTATTTTTCCCCCAATCTACTAAACATTTTCCATTGTCATTTAGTAGTTTTACATAGAATATGCACTACACTTGGATTGCTCAGGGAAAATAAGATGACATATATTGTAGTTTTACAATGCAAAAGAGAGCTTTCATTTTAGACAAAAGGACAACATAGGAGGCACTAAAAAATATATGTCTATTAATCAAGAGCCCATTTAAAAATGATTCAGCATTTAATATGTAGATCTGGAATGCACAGTTTCTGGAAGTATAAGAACTTACATATCAAAAGAGCTTAGTGTTAAACTGTGCCCTTACACCCTCTTCTAGTACTGTAGACACCTGCCGGATTTGAATTCCCCTAGTTCTATTATTTCCATCAGAAAACCAAAAACAGATTATTGGGATCCACCTGTAACTGACCAGAGCAAAAAGTTTTTAACACTTCTTGTTTGTGTGTTATGAATTTTCATTCAAAACCAGATCTCTTACATTCCAAGGTTAGTAACCCAGCCATCCTGAATCAAAGGTTTTTCTCAACTAGGCCTTAGTGTATGGATGACTGGCTCACATACTTACTGTATATGGGGAAGAAGTGAAGAATTTCTTGGTCAAAGCCTAAGTTACAAAGAACATGAGTGGCCTCGAATCAGATGACTCTTCAACTCAAACACTCCTTACTGAGAGCACTTTATAAAACAAGCAGAAAGTCTACCTCTCTCCACCCTCCCCCAATTGCAATAGTGAACATCTGAAATGTGGCGGGTGTAGCTTTTCACTCAGAAGCAATCATGGAAGGTGAGCTGAATCAATCCATCTTCATCTCCACTTCCTCCAATCTAAAGATTTTGCTCCCCAATCTAAAGGAATAGCTGAAGGATGCAGCTAATGGATGAGCATAACAGCAAAATACATTACATGAGAAATATGCTAATATAGGCTAGAGGTGCAGGACTTTTAGGGGCAGGAGGGGAAAGGACAATTCACAGAACTAGTGGCTTTTTCAAAGGAAATTAGGGACATTTTTGGTCATGGAGACTGGTGCTCACCTACCACTAAGGACATGCACAGTTACAGTCACTGTTTAACAACCATGTGAGGGTTTGACATGACCCCAACTAAAAAAACTTGAGTGTTTATGAATGTAATTGCTGAGCTATACTTGGCCTGATTTCCTCAAGTATGATATACCTTTGACATCACCCATTATTCAGGAAATTGCCCTGTGATTGGTACCATAAAAATGTAAGAACTAATCAAAAGTTCATTTCTGTTAAAAACCTTTTTTTCCCTTAAGTAGCTACATCTGGCAAGATTCTTTTTTACATTAAGCCTGTAGTCAACAAGTCTGTAATAAGGCATACACGCTATACTTTGATCATTAAATAATGACACAACCAGCAAACTCCTTTGCTCTAATATTTTTTATTCCCTCAAATTTGATCTGAATTTATCAGTATTTTAAAAAGTTTTTAAAATTTGGTATTTTCCTCTTAAGCTGACTAGAGATGAAGTTTTACCACGCTGCCCAGGCTGGTCTTGAACTCCTGGGCTCAAGTGATCCTCCTGCCTTGGTCTTCCAAAGTGCTGGGATTACCATGCCAAGCCCCGCATGACTTTTGAGGATATTAGGGATTTGCTTGTGTTGTATCTTTGGAATTTGGAGGCCCAAATATTGCCCCCCATTCCCCAGATTCCTGATAGGAAAGCCTGCTCACACTCCCTTATTTTGGAACAGGAAATACTTCGTTGCTAATTTCCAGTTGTGCATGGCAGTGGTTGTAGGCAGCAGGTTTGGGACAACAGGTGTCATGTGTGGGAACTAGTTGAGGAAAGACTGACTTTGTCCAATTAAATGACTTGGCTTTTTTTTTTTTTTTTTTTTTTTTTTTTTTTTTAATACTCTTAATGTGATAAAGCAGATGGGCAGCCATGCTCATAATATGGGCAGCTGTTCACACTCTAGCTGCCTTCCTATGATTCCTGGGCTTCCTGGAGTCCAATGTTATGGCACAGGTTCAGGCTAAGTTCATTTCTACAAGAAGTGTCCCTGTACCGTGTCCATTAGCATAAGCTAGGGACAAGGGCAGTCAAAGGTCAAGAGAAGTTCAAAACAGCATAACCTTTCTGTGCTTCTGTTTCCAAATAACCCCTGTCTGCCCTGCTCCCCCAGTTTTTTCCTCGGCCATCGTGTTTACCGTGTAGTTGTAAAACTCAAGAGAACAAGGACCGACTTGATACAAGGGAAGTTAGAGAATAGAAGTCATTGTTGCTTAAAACAGGAGAAATAATTGATTTATGTTTGGGGGCCAATTAGGCTATAAAACAGGAACAGTAAAGGGACCTGTGACTTCAGGACAGCTACTTGCTCTGATTTCTGCCCCATAGACAGGGGGCTTCCCAATAAAGGCTGTCAGCTTTCTAGGCTAAATTATTAATTCCTCTCATGCCTCTCAGGGATTGTAAACAGCACATAATACAGGGAAACAAGTTGATAGTGTTCAGTTACTGGCCAGATAGAGGGTCAAAGGGTAAATAGTTGGATTAGCAACAGCTGTTCTTCCTCTCCAAACTTTTTGTCTCTTATTATCTATTTCAGGAACACTGTTCCTGAATTTTTGGGTCACATATAATGAAGTCCATTTCTCCTCTTGTAACAATCCTACAAGTAATTACATTGAGAGTAAACATTGACCAAAATTGAAAATACTTATTCTAATTCAGTTTCTAAAGTTGAAGATTGAATTTTTTTTTTTTTTTTTTTTGGTTATGTGCTATGTTGTCTGATATTCAAAGGATATAATCCCAAGGAAAGTACCTGCTTGAAGTCAGACATATTAGAAGCTTTTTAGCTGTGTGTGTGTGTGTGTGTGTGTTTTTTTTTTTTTTTTTTTTTTTACCAGCTGGTTGAGGATCTTGGTATAGCTTGATTAAAAGAAAAAAACATTGTTTTTGTTTAAACTGGTAGTAGAATAATGTATGTTCACTATGGAAAACACTAAAAGAAAATAGAAGCATCTCTAATCCCACCACCTAGAAATAACCATTGCTTCACGTTTGAGAGTATGTCCTTCCAGGTTGTGTCCGAGCTCATCTTTACCTAATTAGGAATCTATATATACTATATATGCAATTTTTGTGTTCTGTTTGTTTTCCCCCACTCTGTATTACATTGGGAACATTGTCCCAAGTCGTGAAATGATTTGTGAAAAATATTTTCACAAATATTTTTAATGGAAGGATATTTCATTAAATAAGTAAATAGCTTTATCATGATTTATTTAACCATCCTGCTATTGTTGAGCATTTAGATTTTCAGTTTTTTCTGCATCATAAATAATGCCACAGAGAACACGTTTGTGTATACATGTTTGCGTTTAAAATGAGTGCTTTAGTTTTTTTATGAAGCCAAATGTGTTCTCATAATTAAGAGCATAGACTCTGGCTCAAGATTGCTTGGGTTCAACTTGGCTTCACTGTAATCTTGGTTAAATTACTTAAACTCTCTGCCTTCCTTTTCTCATCTATGAAATGAGGACAGTAAAATGTATTTCTATTTTATTGGGTTGCTGTGAGGATTAAGTGAAGTGTAATGTATTTAAAGTTCAGAATAGTGCTTGACAAATGGTAAATACTATTAAGTGTATGCTGTTCTAGGCTATGTAGTACAATGTTGAAATTCTCAGTCTTTCTGCACTAATGGGCTGTTGAAACTGTGTTTTATTCAACTAAGCTAGCCTGTGTTTCTTAATGACACAAAGGTGTTAGCAGGTATAAGTTACTACGTCAAGTAAATAGTTCAGATGAGATTGGGCTTGTTCAGAGTGTATGACCATAGACTCCAATTAAATAGTTCAGTCACAGGAATAGAAGAGCTCATATGCTGCTGACTATTTGGTCGGGACTTCTTTACCATCTGGGTGACTGTTAGGGTATTTTGGTCCTTTCCCCCAGCCAATTGCAGGTAATTCTCCCAAATGACCATCTGCCAACACATTTAACTTCTCAGGAGACTAAACAAGTTAACCTTCTGCTTATTTAAAACAGATAACTCGAATTATACACTTTCTTTTTGGTCAATAGCAAGGTCTTATAGAAAGCATACTGAATAAAAAGTTTGTAAAATTTAAAATCTGCCTATTACCATGGATTCCTGTTTACTCAGACTTTAAAAAATAAAGTATATTCTAATGATCAGGGATCTATATAAATGATATATATATATATATATAATGTGTATAATAAATAGTATGTATTAATATACAGTATATGGCACTATATGTAATATAGTGTGTATGTATATATATTTTTATGAGTATTTTAAAAGAGACTTGAAAGTTAAGTGCTGGGTGCAGTGGGTCATACCTGTAATCCTAGCACTTTGGCAGGCCGAGGTGGACAGATTATTTTGAGCCTAGGATTCGAGACCAGCCTGGGCAACATGATGAAACCCTGACTCTAGGCGTGTACCCATAGTCCCAGTTACTTGGGAGGCTGAGGTGGGAGGATCACCTGAGGCCCTGGAGGTTGAGGCTGCAGTGAACTGAGAGATTGCACCACTGCATTCTAGTGTGGGTGTCAGGAGTGAGACCCTGTCTCAGAAAAAAAGTAAGTTAAATTAATTTTTGGTATATCTTGCCATATTGGTAGATGCCCACCAAGGAGAGTTCTACGTGTGTTGGTGGGATGAACAGGCAAGATGAAAAAAGCAAGATAAAAAGTAGGCAAGATAAAAAGAAAGCCCGACACCACGAACTTGCTCTGGCTTTGCATTCAACTATCATGTGTCTTGGGATCCCAAAGATATTTTTTTTGTGGATTCTTCCAGCTACAAAAGAGAAATGTATATCTCAGCTAGTGTACCCTAAAATTCCAGTATTCTGTCCCGTATCCTAATGGATTTATTCCTAGTTGTCAAACTATGTGTCACAATTTTTGGTCTCAGAAAGTAGTTCATATAAGCCCAGATGTTGTCTACTGAGAGTGAACTTAAGACTGTTACAGATGAAGGAAACAAAGGAAATTACCATTCACTGGGTATTCCTTACGTGCCAGGCACTTTGCATATGTTCAGTAAGTGTGAGAAGGATTATAGCATAGAAAATATCTGATTTTAAGTTTGGCTTGATAATACCTAATTCATTTAACACAGTTATTGTTGTTTTCTCCCTCCCTACTTTGGGTGCCACCTGAGACATAGTTCCTGCCCAGAAAGGACTCTGGTTTAATCAGGAAGGCAGACACAAAATATGATGTGACTTTTACCACATAATAGTAAGGATACCTAATATTTGCTGTGCACAGAATGTTTCACATGCATTTTTTATTAAGCATTCATAAGACTTGTTTAAAAAGATACAATCCCCATCTTACAGATGAGAACTATGAGGCCTGAGGAGATTAAATTATTCACCCCAAGGTACCTAGTGAAGTATCTGAGACTTCAGAGCCCCTGCTTTATTAAATAATTAATTTCTATCCTGTCTCTAGCTCTCTGGATAGTGACAAATCTCAAATGCTAATGGTGGAAGGCTAAGGCAGTGTAATGATTTATAACATATATAATCTTTTGTGTAAAAGAATGAAGACTATTTTTGAAGTGTCATCTGAGCCTCTTCTGCATGTATTAGGGTGGTTTTGGACACAAAGTAGAATGATTCATTGTGGAATAGGTTCCTGAGATGTCTGCTGTGGCTCAGATTCAGGATTATTCCACTATTTTTCAAGTAAGTTCTTGAAACATAGTTCACAAATCTCCCTTGTTTTCTCCCTTTATGTCCCTTTTTCTCTACAACATTGTTAGTGATTTTGCTATGTTACATTCATAATAGTTCCGAGTGCCTGCTTCCAGAGCTTCAGTTGATTCTGTGGCATTGCTGCTAGATCAGGCCTTCTGAATGTGGCCTTTTGCTGAGGAGTTCCCTTCTGATAAGGATTCTTTTGATCAGGGTAGGAGTGGTATGAGATGCAGAGTTTAGGCTGAACTCTCATCCCCTTGACCTCTGCCCCTATTTGAGTTTATACTGACTTGGTAGCAACTCCCTATGGAGCCAAGAGTTTAGCACTTGTTTACAATTGATGAAAAGATAGTTGCATTCAAAGGCGGTTGTTGGGTCCTTGGATAGTCATGGATGTCTGCCACTATCTCTGGTGGGTGAAGGGATTGCTTGAATATCTAAATCTGGAGATTTTAATGAATGACTGAGAAGAAATGAGAAGAAGTTCTGAGGCTAGTTAGGTTCTGCAATTTTTCTTTCCATGGGAGCAGTATTGCAGTAACATTTTCAGATGAGACAAAGACTTTTAATAAACATTTGTTTTATTAAAAAAAAAAGGCTGAAAGAGATTGCTTAAATTCAGTACTTGATAACAAGGGAGTACATGGGAATTCTTCTCTTCCTTTTTTGATCTCTTGCCAAAGAGAAAACTTTCTGTGTTAGGCAAACGTATCAGTAATGGGGGGGGATACCCTAGATTAAAGCCACCCTCTTCAAAGTTGTACATAGTTTTACAAATTAACATTTTTTTCTAAATAGCTCATGTATTCTAAACATGCTGAGACTATAACAACTCAGTTCTAAATGAGGCCCTTTCTGGGTACTCTTTGGTCAACCAGGACCACTCTTTGCTTCTTTACCCGAAGTTACTTTGTTTTTGTTTTATTTTGGTCCAGTATTTGTCATAGATATGATCTGAAAGAAAAGATAAGCCTCTCTCTTTGAAGACAGCTGACAGTCACTGTGAACCAAAATTGTATGTGCTTTGTTGGTAAGCATAAGAAAATCAAAACTGCAGAGTAAGATTCAAAGTGAAAATACAGTGTTAAAGATCTTTTTCATTTGTTAGTACAAAATTCCATGTCCTAAGTGTGGTCTGCCCTATAGATGTATTTTGTTGACTTCCAGGATGTTTAAATAAAATCATGTTAGTTGTCAACATTTAAAATGTTCAAGATGGCTGGGCGTGGTGGCTCACGCCTGTAATCCCAGTACTTTGGGAGGCTGAGGTGGGTGGATCACCTGAGGTCAGGAGTTCGAGACCAGCCTGGCCAACATGGTGAAACGCCATCTCTAGTAAAAATACTAAATTACCTGGGTGTGGTGGCGCATGCTTGTAATCCCAGCTACTTAGGAGGCTGATAGAGGCAGGAGAATTGCTTGAACCTGGGAGGTGGAGGCCACAGTGAGCCGAGATTGCATCATTGCACTCCAGCCTGGGCGACAAGAGCAAAACTCCATTTCAAAAAAAAACCCAAAAACATGCAAGAGTTTCAAAAAACTTTGGATTTCTGGCTTTCTTGATAAATTGTAATATCTAACATTGAGCTCAGAGTTTTATATGGCATCTGTTGGCTGGAACAGAGTAGTGGCTGCCTTCTTTATATGGATTGATTGATTGGACACATGGTCTTGCTTTGTCACCCAGGCTGGAGTGTAGTAGCGCTATCATGGCTCACTGCAGCCTTGACCTCCTGGACTCAAGCAATTCTTCCCACCTCAGTCTCTTGAGTAGCTGAGACAATAGGCACGCACTACCGCGGTGGGCTAATTTTTGTGTTTTTTGTAGAGATGGGGTTTCACCATGTTGCTTAGGCTGGTCTCCAACTCCTGGGCTCAAGCAGTCTGGGCACCTCGGCTTCCCAGAGTGCTGAGATTAGGCTTCCCAGAGTGCTGAGATTACAGGTGTGAGCCACGGCGCTCAGCCCGCTGCCTTCTTTAAATGAGCATGTACTCTCAGGTTTTCACAGAACGTTGGTAGCCTCCTTTACCCATTTATGTTTCCTGCTCGTCTTCTATGTAGGCATTTGAGTTTTCAGCTCCTACATTAAATAATTATAATTTTTAGGGATGATGAGAGGGTGGGAAAATGGGAACTCTTAAAAATGTAATCTAATATCTATCAAAACTGATAATGTGCAGGTTATTTTTGCAGACTTGACAGTTTAAAATTTAAAAATATAAAATTTAAAATTATAGGCCAGGCGAGGTGGCTCACTCCTTTCATCCCAGCACTTTGTAGATCCCTTGAGCCCAGGTGTTTGAGACCAGCCTGGGCAACATGGCAAAACCTCATCTCTACAAAATATATACATAAATTAGCTGGGTGTGGTGGCACATGCCTGTAGTCCCAGCTACTTGGGAGGATCACTTGAGCCTGGGAAGTCGAGACTACAGTGAGTTGTGATCACACCACTGCACTCCAGCCTGGGCAACAGAGTGAAACCCTGTCTCCACCCTCCCCCTGACAAAAGAAAATTTAGATTTAACAATTCATATGTCTAAGAATTTATCCTAAATACTTGACAGTTATGAAAAATGTATGTTTACAGATGTTTCTTTTAGCATTTATAATAGTAAAAAAATGGGATAACTAGGCGTGCTGGTGCATGGCTGTCATCCCAGCTACTGGGGATGCTGAGGTAGGAGGATCGCTTGAGCCCAGGAGGCGGAGGCTGCAGTGAGCCAAGATCGCGCCACTGTACTCCAGCCTGGGCAGCAGAACGAGACCCTGTCTTTAAAAAAAAAAAAAAAAGTTACAATTTAAGTTTAATAGGGGATTCGATAAATGGATTGTGGTTATTCATGCAGTAGGATGCTGTAGACTTAGGAGAAGGCAAATTTTTAGTCTGGAGGGTGATACAATGTTAATAGTGGTGTTTTTGGGAAAATGAGATTACAGGATATCTTTCATTATCTCTGAGTTTTCTGTTTTTAAGAACATTGCATTATTAAGAAAAAAGACATGCATTTAAAAAATTCTCTCTCATTTTAGCTGCCAAATTTCCATGGCTATTCTGCCAAATTAAGCCACATAGGTTCTGGCTTCCACTTAAAGTACAGATTTTACATTCAGAATTCTCTTGTCTTGAAATTATTCTAGGGAAGAGGGGGGGAATCAGAGTCCTCAAGTATCAGGAACCATCTTTGAAGCCTAAGAATAAAGTAAAAGCCTTCTACAGCATTTTCAGGCTGCAACCCTGCTTCCATTCACTAGTAAAGCCATCAGAATTTGCCTCCTTTTCAGTGTCAGGCCTGAGGCTTGAGCCAGCACTATTGACAATGGAGGGAGCTTCTCATATAAATTGGGCTATCCTGACAGTTGCAGGGATACCTGCTGAAAGTGACCCTAATGAAATGCATGGGTGTGTGGTACAGTGGAAAAAACATGAATGAAAATTCACATCCTGGCCTTCCTGCTTTCCTGCTGAGTAGCATAGGCAACGTGTGAAGCTCAGTTTGTTCATCTTTGAAACAGTAGTCATTCTTGTTAAATGTTGTTTTAAAAAATAAGTGAGATAACATATATGAATTGCCCAGCAGTTAGCTGCTCTAGTCATGCATGTTTCGAACTCTGTGGAAATACAAGATAAAAGGTTTCTAATTTCTTTTTGTTAATATTTGATGAGCATTTACTGTATGTTAATGACTTTAAAACATTTATCTCATTTACTCTTCCTGGCAGCTGTGCAAGGTTATTCTCAACTCTTGTTCTCCCCATTTTACAGATGAGGAAACTGACAGTTTAACACTTGGCCAAGGTCACACAGCTGGTAAGTGGCAGAGATGAACCCTGTGTGATCCCAAAGCCCATGTCCTTTTTATCTTTTTAAAATTGAGTTGTGACTTACATGCAATGAAATGCACAGATCTAAAGTGTTAAGTTTAAGCATTTTTATAAATGTGTGCATCCTAGTAATCCACATTCCATCAAGATACAGAACATTTCCATCCCTTCAGAAAATTCCCTTTTACTTTTCCCAGTCCATCCCACTACTCTACCCCAAAAAGCAGTAACTTCTGGTTTCCATCATGATAGATTAGTTTTGCCTGTTTTCTAAAATGTCACGTGTATACAATCTTACAATATGTGCTCTTTTATGCTTGTTTTAGCATGATATTTGAGACTCATCCATGTGTTGCTGGTGTTAGTAGTTCATTTCTTTATATCGTTGAAGAGTATTCCTTGACTGTACCATAGTTTATTTACCTGTTGATACCTGGGCTGCTTCTAATTTTTGGTTATTATGAATAAAGCAGCTATAAAGTTTCTTGTATAAGGATTTATGGACCTGTGTTTTTATTTCTCTTAGTCGTACATCTAGGAATTATTGGGTCATGTGGTATATGTTAAACTTTTTATGAAATTTCCGAATATATTTCCAAAATGTTCATACATCTTAGTTCCAGTAGTATATGAGTTTCAGTTCCACATCTTTGCAAGCATTTGTTATTGCTAGTTTTTGAAATTTTAGTCACTCTAGCGAGCATTGTATTAGGATTGATGTGGTTTTAACTCGCATTTCTTGATGACTAGTAATATTGGTCACATTTTCATGTACTTATTGATCATTCATGTGTCGTCTCTTAAAAGTGTTCAGATCTTTTGGTAAATTCATGTGGCTGGGCACGGTGGCTCACGCCTGTAATACCAGCACTTTGAGAGGCCAAGGCAGATGGATTGCTTGAGCCCAGGAGTTCGAGACCAGTGTGGGCAAGGCAACATGGCGAAACCCCGTTTCTACTAAAAATACAAAAATTAGCTGGGTGTGGTGGTGCATGCCTGTAATCCCAGCTACTCGGGAGGCTGTGGCACAAGAGTTGCTTGAAGCTGAAAGGTGGAGGTTGCAGTGAGCCAAGATTGCACCACTGCACTGCAGCCTGGGTGACAGAACAGGACTCAGTCTCAAAAAAAAAAAAAAAAGAAAAGAAAAATTCATGTGTTTTGTTCAACTATTGAGTGGTGGGTGTTTGTTTTCTACTTATAAGTACATCAGATATGTGTTGTAAATATTTTCTCCTAGTCTATGACTCTTTTTTACTTTTTAACATGTTTTGTGAGGAACAGAGCTATAAAATTTTTATGAAGTCCAATTTATTAATTTATGATTAACATTTTCTATGCCCTCTCTAAATCTTGGCCTAAACTGAGATTGCAGAGATATGCTATGTTTTCTACTAGAAACAGTATGATTTTAGCTTTTACATTTATATCTATAATCTATCTCAAATTTGTTTTTTCTATATTATGAGGTAGGAATCAAAGTCTTTTTAATATGAATATTCATTTGTTTGGCACCATTTGTTGAAAAGGCTTTCTTCATTGCATTTTATTTTTTTTAGACAGGGCCGCACTCTGCTGCCCAGGCTGGAGTACAGTAGCATGACCATGGCTCACTGCAGCCTCCTCTTCCTGGGGCCCAAACAGTCCTCCTGCCTCAGCCTCCCAAGTAGCTGGGACCACAGGTGCGCAACCACCATGCCAGGCTAGGTTTTAAATTTTTGGGAGAGACGGGGTTTCACTTTGATGGTCAGGCTGGTCTTGAACACCTGGCCTCAAGTAATCCTTCCGCCTCAGCCTCCCAAAGTGTTGGGATTTTAGGCATGAGCCACTGCCCCTAGCTGTTGAATATTTTGATGCTCTTGCTGAAAAATAATTGAGAGTCTATTTATAGGCCCTGTATTCTCTTCTATTAATCTTTTTACCTTTTCACAAATACCATAGTGTCTTGATTACTATAACTTTATAATAGATCTTGAAATCAGATAGAAGTAGTCCTCCAACTCCATTCTTCTTTTTCAAAGTTGTTTTGGATATTTGGCTATTGTTTAACAAAAAAACTTGCTGAGATTTTGATTGAATTGCATTGACTCTATCCATCTGGGAAGAGTGATCAACTTAATAATATTGGGTATCTTTTAAATTTTTTTAAGTTTTTTTTTTTTTTTTTTTTTTTTTTTTTTTTTTTTTTTAAGAGACTAGGTCTCGCTCTGTTTTTTTTTTTTTTTTTTTTTTTTTTTTTTTTTTTTTTTTTAAGAGACTAGGTCTCGCTCTGTTACTGAGGCTGGAGTACAGTGGTGCAATCCATAGTTCACTGCAGCCTCAAACTGCTGGTCTCAAGGGATCCCTTGGCCTAGTCTCCAGAGTAGGTGGGACTATAGGTACTCACCACTACACCCGGCCAATTTTCTAAAAAAAAATATGTATATATTTTTGTAGAGACAGTGTCCAGGCTGGTCTTAAACCTAGGACCTAAGCTACCCTCTCACCTCAGCCTCCCAAAGCACTGGGTTTACAGGTGTGAGCCACCATACCTAGTCAATAATATTGAGTCTTGGGTCTTCTTTTTTTTTTTCTGAGACAGAGTCTCACTTTGTCCCCAGGCTGGAGTGCAGTGGTGTGGTCTTGGCTCACTGCAACCTCTGCCTCCCGGGTTCAAGTGATTCCCCTGCCTCAGCCTCCCGAGTAACTGGGACTACAGGTGTGCGCCACAACACCCAGCTAATTTTTGTATTTTTACTAGAGATGGGGTTTCACCATGTTGGTCAGGATGGCGTCGATCTCCTGACCTTGTGATCCGCTCGCCTCGGCCTACCAAAGTGCTGGGATTACAGGCATGAGTCATCGCACCCAGCCAATGTTGAGTCTTCTAATCCATGAAGTCAGTGTATCTTTCTCCTTATTTAGGTCATCTTTCTTTTTTCTTGTTAATGTTTTAAAAAGTTTAGTGTTGAGATCTTATACATCTTTATCCTTAATATTTTGTTTTTTAATGTTATAGTAAATGGTATTATTTTTAAATTTTATTTTCCAATTGTTGCTAGTATATATAAATGCAGTTGATTTTTATGTATTGAGTTTGTATCTTGTGACATTGTTAAATTTGTTTGCTAGTTCTAGTAACTTTTAAAAATAAATTTCTTGGGACTTTTTATGTGTACATCTGTGAATAAAGACAGTTTACTTCTTCCTTTTTGATGTTTATGACTTATTTATTTTTCTATTGCACTGGCTAAGATTTCCAGTACAGTGATTGATAGAATGATGTTCTTGCCTTATTCTTAATCTTAGGAGGAAGAAGTTCAATTTCAGTATCAAGTATGATGACACCTCTATTGGGCTTTCTTTTTTTTTTTAGGGTTGTGGTAAAATATACGTGACATAACATTTACCATCTTAACCATATTTAAATGTGCTTATCAGTGGCATTAAGTACATTCACACTGGTTGTGCAACCATCACCAGCATCCATCCACATAACTCTTCTAATATTGCAAAACTGAAGCTCTATACCCATTAACAATAACTACCCATTCTCCCCTGCTCCTGGTAACCACCATTCTACTTTTTGTCTCTGAATTTGTCTACTCTAGGTACCTCATTTAAGTGAAATCATACAGTTTCGTCCTTTTGTAACTGGATTATTTCCCTTAGCATAATGTGCTTAAAGTTTATCTATGTTGTATAGTGTTAGAATTTCCTTCATTTTTGAGGCTGAATAAGATTCCATTGTATGTATATACCACATTTTGTTGATCCATTCACCTGTTGTTGAACACTTGGGTTGCTTTCACCTTTTGGTTATTGTGAATAATGGTATAAACATGAGTATACATGGTTGTCTCTCTTCAAGCCCCTACTTTTAATTCTTTGGGGTATATACCTGGAGGTGGAATTGCTGGACCCTATGGTAATTCTGTTTTAAAATTTTCAGGAATCACCATACTGTTTTCCATAGCTGCCGCACCACTTTACATTCTCATCAGCAGTGCTCTAGGGTTCCAATTTCTCCACATCCTCGCCAACACTTATTTACTGTGTTTTTGATAGTAACTCTCCTAATGGTTGTGAGACAGTATCTCATTGTGGCTTTGATTTGCGTTTCCCTAATGATTAGTGATATTGAGCATCTTTTCACGTGCTTATTGACCTTTTGTGTGTCTTCTTTGGAGAAATGTTTGTTGAGGTCTTTTGCCTATTTAATTGGATTCTTTATGGTTTTTGTTTTAGTTGTACGGGTTCTTTCTATATTCTGTATATTAATCCCTTAACAGATACATGATTTGCAAATATTTTCATCCATTCTGCAGATTCCTTTTTCATTCCGTTGTGTCCTTTGATGCATAGAAGTTTTACATTTTCATGTTATCGAGTAATTTTTTCTTTTGTTGCCTGTGCTTTTTGTGTTATATCCAATAAACCATTGCCAAATCCAGTGTCATGAAGCTATCTCCCTGTTTTTTTTTTTTCTCCAAGTTTTATAGTTTTAGGGCTTATGTTTAAGTCTTTGATCCATTTTGAGTTAATTTTTGTGTATGATGTAAAGGTAAAGGCCAGCTTCATTTTTTCTCATGTGGATATTATTTTATCAGTACCATGTGACTATTCTTTCTGCATTGAGTGGTCTTGTAACGTTCACAAAAATTGTTTGACCATATAAGGGTTTAGTACTGGGCTCCATATTTTATTCCATTGGTCTATGTCTGTCATGTTAATAACAGACTGTTTTGATTACTGTGACTTTGTAGTAAATTTTGAAATCGGGAAGCTATAGGGTTTTTGTAGATGCCTTTTATCAGCTTGAGAAAATGCTGTTCCTAGTCTGCTAAGAGTTTTTTTTTAATCACAAGTGGTGTTATTTTCAGATTAATAATTACTAATCTGTAAATAGGTTACTTTTTTTTTTTTTTTTTTGAGACAGAGTCTCGCTCTGTCGCCCAGGCTGGAGTGCAGTGGCCGGATCTCAGCTCACTGCAAGCTCCGCCTCCCGGG